TAGGAGAGTTTTATCTTGATATTGCAAAGGCCAGCTTATTCTTTCCACATCTGCAAGGGTCTGTGTGATGTACATGTTACCATAGATGGTCCACACAGACCCATCTGCATTCAGCCTAAAGCATTTGTGAATGCTTGGACTTTCCACCCCAATTATTTCCCTGTTTGTACATCCTTGGTTTCTCTCTTCACTTTCTCTCCTCACATCTTAGTACCTCCTACCAGAGATAGGAGCAAAGAAGGTGAAGAAGAGATAGGAGTCAAAGACAGAGGCATGAGGGGCAGATGAGACACCCTTGCCTAGTAGCGATCTGGAACAGACAGGACTTACATAATCCACAATGGAGCGCAGCAGCTGCATGTCCGAGTTTCTGCAGCCTGAACTTTTCTCCAGCTGTAAGTGAAGAGCCGGGGCAAAGGGTACTCCTACTAACTTCAGACCTGGAGTTCTGTTGCACAAGGATAATCAGACAAACAGCATGACATAAACACCAACACACTGAGGAAGCAGGATTGAAAGTCATTGCAATGTAAATAAGGACACCTGTTTACAGAAGACGTCTTTAGCAAATACGTCTCTTAGCAACAGTCACACTTAAAACTTCATGAATAAATATCATAGCTAAACAGGCTAAACAGGTCTTTAATAACGCTACAGTATCCTCTTCGTTGCAAAAAACACCACAGTACATATGAACTTACCCTTGTAAATCCATGTAGATTTGTTTAGACTTTTCTCTCAGGACAGTAAAAATGTCTGCGGATCAGAGAAAACCTGGATCAGGGGCAAGAGATGTAAAAACAAAACTACCTCTACATTAATAATCAGCAAGGAAAGCCCTCTATGGAAGAACAGCTTGTCTCTAACACAGATCTTTTCAACACTGGGGCCAATAAATTCCCCCTAAACTTTAAAGGTGCATATTGGAGTAAGCAGCAGCAAACAGATCCTTTACCTGGATCTTCCTCCATGATGTTGAGAGCCTCAATGGCAGCAGCAGCCAGCATGGGAGGCAGGGAGGCAGAGAAACAGTAGCCCTGGCCTGACAGACGCTACCAAACACACAAGAGTCTACTTTTAACCAAATCACAGTTGATGCCTTTATAATTACTGCTCCAGCTGACACTGATGAATAGAAACAAATACAAAGTAATACCTACTTGATTTCAGCCCACTCAAGTCAATAGCTAGTATTTAAGTAAATTCCACCCAGGAGAAGTATGTGCAAGTCGCATAATAATTTATACATCTATGCAGAAAACCAGCCCACGCACTATTAATACTGCGACAGGCTTCATAGAATGAACGTAGTAGCTCGTCAAACAAGTGGCAAGGCTGACTGGCTTCCCTTTTTAGCCATCACTTAATTTTACACTTACAAGTAAAATGTCAGGTCATTATCTAATATCTGATTTTGCATCACAGCATCCCTCATAAACATTTATAGTCATGTATTCAGCATGTATCAGTAAAACATTTGTTGTGCTCACCTGGTGGTCAATGACAAACGAGCGCCCGCAGCAGAAGCCTCCAATGGAAGCCACAGCATTCTCCATGTTAGCACTGATCAGGTCAATGTCATCTATCTGCATGGAGCAGAAATGATATGAAGGTACTGGTCCACATATAAAACTCAAGTGAAATCTTTTCTATAAATCATTGACTGTAGATCAGGGGATGGCATGCATGGAGCTTACAGCTTAGCATTAATTCATTTCAGTGGAACAGATAAGGGAAATGGGCTAAAATATATGCTGTTATTTATTTGTTTATTTATCTGTTCATTAGTTTAGTCAGTCACCGCTACCTGGTTTTACAATAGCAAAGCTACCCTCAAGGAAGATGACATCACATTTTTAATCAGCTCTTTAGCCTTTTAATGCAAGTATAGAGTATTTCTTTGTTCAAAGTGGAGCAAACTCACATTGACCCCAAAGTGTTCAGTGACTCCTCGGCCGTGTTCTCCCAACACACCAAAAGACATGCTCTCCTCCAGAAAGATCCGCACCTTGTATTTGTACTTGAGCTTCACCTGGAGGTTACAAAAAAGAGAGGTAGAGAGAGATATAGGGAGAGATGAGAGAGAGAGATGCAGACAAAACTGACGGCCATATAATAAGCAGCTTTTGAGGTCCATTCGATTTCTATTTACCAGATCTGGGAGAGGACAGATGTCTGCAGTGTTGATGTACAGTCCTTCCACGACAATGAATTTCCGCGTCACTCGAGCTTTACGAGGATTCTGTAACAGAAATGAGTTACTTCACTAACACTGGCACATTTGCAGTCATGTTGATTAATATGCACTGTCCTTGAAAAAAAAAATTAACAAACTAAAAATAAGACCAACAAGAAAAACAGCCGTATGACATCCATTATTAAACATAAAAATCATTGTGCAGTTTTAACATTTTGGACTAACTCTACAGACATGACAATACAGGACACACTGCGACACTCACACACAGTAATTCTTTAACTAAACAGCCATGTACTAACCTTCTGGTCCTCCAGCTCTTGTTCCTTGAGCAGCCTCTCCAGATCCTCCATGTCGTTATGTTTAAAGTATTTGATGAAGCTGCGGGATGCCTGAAGACCTTTCTGGATGGAGAAACAGGCTGCTTCATCCCTGAACACACAATGCAAAACTATAGTAGAAACATAAAATTATGGAACAAAAAATCCATCAAGTAACCTTTTCATATGAACTGATCAGGCACAGCATTAAAACAGCCTGCCTAATATTGTAACTGTCCAAAAGACAGGTCTTATCGAGATCTTTGCTAAAAGGTTGGTAATTATATACTGTCATAATTTCATTATTGTTTGAATCCATAGTCCTTAAAAGTGAAGCAGAAGTAAAATAAACAGGATGTAAAAAAGATCACTTTGAAAATGCTGTTTATTACAGTGTTTGTTTAAGGAAGATTGAAACGGGTCACATGACCACAGTTTTGTTAAGGGTCACACCAGTGGTATTATGGGTCAGATGCAGTACAGCTGCAGAGAAAAAACCATCCAGCCCAAAATAATCATTCTGCCTGGTCAGAGAGGCGTGCATGGTAAACTGTGACTTAACTTTTATTTGTTTAATATTCGTTTGCTGAAGTGCTTCTGTATGGACGGTTTAATGCATTGTTGTTCAGGCTAGCATATTTGGATCCATCTATCCACTGACACCAGCTTGTAAGATTTTTTGAGTGCTTGGAAAACTTTAAAACAACTCAACAATGTGTTTGAAACATCTGTTGTATGTCCTTTATTTTTATTTTTTGCAGTTGTCACAGTGTCTGCTGACTAGATGGGAAATAAATGTTCAAAGCACATTCATTTCATTGGACCGACATAGTGAAACCACTTGCGCCACCAAAACAGCTCTGACCCTTTCAGAGTGTCCACCAGGACATCGGATGTGGATCCTTTGGTTCTGTGGAATGGGCTTGTTCCAGTACATCCTGTGGATGCTTAAACCAAATTGAGATCTGGAAAATTTGGAGGCCAGATCAACGCCTTGGGATCTTTGTTGTGTTCATTAAGCCGTTCTCCATTCAGCCGTCAGTGTTTTTAATGTTGTGGCTGATTAGTGCAAAACGTTTGCAGGCTGCATATGGTATATGTGCTTTTCTGTGGGACTAAGCCTTAGTTTTGTATTGTTCTATTCTTGTTACTAGGGACAACACTCACACAAAGATGATGTCGCCCCTCTTGGAGTAGGCAGGGATTGCGCTAGCAATGGTTGCAAAGCCATATGAATAGATAATGGCCTCTTCTGTTTTCATGAATTTGGCAAGACGACTCTCCAGCTCCAGATGGACATCTGTGGAAGGGAAACAATACAGTAGAAACCAAGTTAAAGCACAGCTCACAGGTATTTTTAAATTTACCATAACATAACATATTCAGGTGCACAGAGAAGGCAGTGGCTTTCCTGACCTCTGGGTCTGCTTAAGATGAGCATGTACACACAGTTATCGCTATCACTTGAGCCTGTATAGAACGAGCCTGATTGCGTGAGCTGGAGTTGCCCTTTCTGGAACAGCTTTAACCTCTGATTGATTTGTGAGGTTTGTTAAAGTCAGTTGTTAGACTCTAAATTGAATAAATAAGCTGTTCTAAGCTTTTGTGTCTTTATTAAACAATAAATCATTAGTGCTGATGGAAAAATTCCAGTTTTGCTTATCAATTCTGGTTCTTAACGATTCTCGACTCAAATTCTTTTAATGGACTCGGTCAAAACAAATTACACGCTTACTTTACAGAAAAATATATTATTAAAAAAATCCTTAGATAACTCATGACAGTCATACTTGCACTCAAAACAGTTTTTTTTTTTTTTTTTTTGACAGTTTATGGAATCTGTAAATTCAAATCTTCCACTTTGATCTGGTTGCTGCTGTAAACACAGCACATCAACCACAGTGCACTTGTTGATCAGTATGCTGAGCTGGCAAAAGTGTTTTGTCATGTTTGTAGTACAGCCTCTCTTGCACAAAATACATTTGGCACAGGTGTGGCACTATGACAACTCGTCATTTTTTTCCCCAAACAAATGATGTTGTACGAAGTGATCTGAAGGATTTTTCCACATTCCACATCAATATTCCCCAAAAACATCAAAAAGACACTTAACAGTTTGTGTGCCAAAATCACAACACACCGTTTTTTTTCTTTTTTTTTTAAACATACTTTGCTTTACAGTTTCAAATCTATTAGACAATGATAACAATGAAACCTTACTGCCATGAACAGCTTAAAGAATGATCCTGCATCACTGGGTGTATCAACTATTTGTCTGGTGCAAATAACAAATGAGGAACATCTACGAATGTGAACGACTAGAGTGGGTGTGTGAAAGGGTCTGAATGACAGATTGCCATCACTTTAACGGATTGAACAACCCAGAAATGTTCCATGTCGCATGTCTGAAAGGGGCTTTACTAACATTCTCCGTAAACAAAACAACATGCATTGCTTTGTGCCATGTGGTCCAGTCCAGAAAGAGCACCAGTGTGTAGCTCTGGGGATGACTCAACATTTATTACTGTCACACATGTGCTGAAGGTCAACGGTGTCCTAACACTGAGCCTGAAATAAGCACGTGACTTTAGGTTAGGAAAATTAGGAACCAGAATTGAAATGAAAGTTTAACGATTCCTTCAAAGTTTTGGAGTGTGTTCTAATTTGGAACCAGATGCCCAATGCTGGCATCCTGCTATAAGCATCATGACTGCTGGATGATCTGTGTATGGTAGACTGATGAACTGGGATGTTTCAAGCCCTTAGATTCTCTATAGCTGATTCTACACTGAACCTTTGGAGTCATCCCACCCAGCTACTCACTTCTAGAGAGCAGCTACAGAACTAAAATGTCTCCATTTGTGTAACTGGTTAGTAATACATTTTACAACTACTTGAGATTACTCTGTAGCTCATATTCTAATAATGATGAGTCTACTGAGAGCTCTTTTTTATGAGGCACATCAGCAAATGCTTCTTCTGAATACCAAACACAAAATGTTTTTGTTTTTTTAAATCAGGCAGAGCAGCAATACAATAATTTATGTGTGACTAATTACAAAAAAGATTGTCTTTCTCTTAACATGAATGCAGCCTCTTTTTTTAAGGGTTTACTTTTTCTTGCAGATCAGATGGTGGAATATTACCAGAGGATAAAAATCTGAACTGTTCACTCACCAAAAGTCCCATAGAAACCTCTTGGACCACACGTGCCCACGCCATATTTCTTCAGTGATGCTAAAGCCTTTTCCTGTAATTACAAGAAGAAAAAACTAGTCAAAGTTCCAATCAAGCTAAAATTCAATGAAGAGTGAGGTTTAGATAATAAATACTGACCACTGACCTTAACCCGCTTATTGTCCAGGAGACCCAGGAAGTTAAATGATGCAAAATTAATGCATTCTTTCCCATCAATGACGATTTTGTGGCTGGGAGGTCTATAATGAGAAACTGTGTTTAAGTGCTTAGCTTTAACCTGGCAACACTGAAAAAGTCTGAGAATAGATGGTAAATGGTCTGTGTGGCAGCAGGGTTTGGATTTGCTCAGCTGCAGAATAGCAGCACTATTACTGCTATTTGAATAACACAAAAATGCAGATGGAGGAAAAATGCTTAACCTCCATCTGCACCCAAACAAACAGTTCATGGTTGCGACATGTTCCCATTGAGTTTGCTTACAATTCCTCTTTAACCAGCTGTAAGGTTGTTAGAAGCATCTTCTCCCACTCTGACAGCATAGTGTGTACAGTGGTGGAAAGAGTTCTGAAAATCTGTACTGACGTAGAACTCAAGTAGTTACATCACTAAAGTATTACTCAATGACAAGTACTCTACTAACACTACTGCTGGTAAAAATACTTCAGTAATAGAAAATATTCTCCTCAAAAAATACCAGTGTTAGTGAAGCTATAACTGTTGATGTTTATGCATTATCAGTAGCATCCATCCATCTTGCTCTCCAATTGCCACACCAAAATCTGTCCCAACCGAATCAGATTCGTTCTTACATTATCAGGTCAAGCATGACAATGAACACCTCTTTAGGCAGATGTGGCCCTTGTGGAAATTCAGCTTGAGTGAATATTGAAAAGCAGTGTGTAAAGCAGAATGGTGTTCTGGGTGTTTTACCCTGTGACAACAACATAGTTGAGGGAGGGATGATCTTTCGAAGTAGCAGGAACTAAAGGCTCTGGCTGCCACTCCTCAATCAGGTCCTCCTTTTCCTGAAATGTGGAACCCCATGACAGCTGGTTGGTGACACTTACACAAACACCACTGATGTTTCATTTTCATTGTGCAGAGTTTACCTTCTCTGTCAGTTTATATGTTTCATGAAGTTTGTAGGTCTTAGAAAACAGCAGTCTGATGATCCACAGTATGAGGATCCCCTCCAGAATCAGGTGATACGCAGGTGCCTGAGAAAGACAGGGGCACTAATATTAGTTTGATGTCAAGTGATGGGCCATAGAGTCAAAATCCTGTTTCAGACAGGGAACATGGAAGATTGCTGGCGTCATCAATCTGATAAAGTGACGGCATTCTAGTCATTCACTCATAGGTCACTTTTCTGTTAATGTTCCTCAAAGCTTCAAGCAGACATACTCCCCACAGTGCCAGAGAGAGCTGTGGTACACATGCGATATTTGTCATTCATGCAAGATTAGACAATATACCAAGTGATGTATAATGCAATAACAGACTGAAGCTAATGCACCAACAGCCCAGTTGAGCTCCTAAACAGTGAAACTGAAAGTTCACGACTCAACCTGAGGACAGCTGCAATGTCCCTAAATGTTTACCTGCAGATTGTTAGCCGTCACTTTGTGTGACAGCTCACCTGTTTGAGGGGAAGTACACAGTTTAAGCTGCTGCTAGATCCTGATCCATCACCATATCAAGGATCATTTATAGTTGAACCTAATAAATTTTACATTTTTATTAAAATTACTGTTGCTTCATCCATAAATGCACACAGCTCTCTCTCTTTGGAGACACTTGTGTTTCCTACTGCTGTGTGTTGCTCAAGGTATGCAACAAATAAGGAAGACATAGTCCTAACCAGCTGTAAACTAACTGCCCTTCTGTGTGTGGCAGCTCTCCTGTCTGATGTGAAGGCGAGCAGGTCTACACACAGCGTGACCTGCTGTTGGATTGTGCCCTGTAATGATCTGCTCTCCATGCTCTCTCAGTAACTTCAATAAAATCTTCTGTTTCTCGACACTGTTGTTCTACTTGCACACAACGCTCACTCTTTGGAGACATAAATATGGATCCTTCTGCTGTCTGATGCTGCAGATAACAAAGTCACGGATAACAGTTCAGCTAGAACAGCTAGAAGGAACAAACTTTAGCTTGTGTTGTATTACACTCATCATTGGTGAGTATCTTTAATTTTAACTAGGAGATAACTTTTTTAATGTCACACATGTCCAGTTCCTGAGGCAGTGAAGCAACCCCAAACCAGAACATTTTCACTTAAAATCATTCACAGTTCAAAAAGGTTCTTTTACTGAAAAGCTGTCTACTGTCACTGTGGGCAAACAGGTGTGTAACTCCGATTCATCTGCCCAGAGCACATAACTGCAAAAATTCTGCTCTTTGCCTGTAAGTCCACTGACAAACTACGGTTTGATTTAATGATCTCAAAGTATTTTTCTTGTTCCACCTCTCATGCAGGTCACATTTGTGAAATCTTTATCTTATTGCAGAAAATAAGACAGCTAAATGATCTTGAAACCACTTGAAATTTTAACTTGCACACACCCCCCAAAAAAATGTTGCAAATGCGGCCTTTTACATCGCAGTCTGTAGCCCTATGAAACTTTTTCTTGAAGTTTCCGGGATATTCAGTAAAAAAATAAATAAAAATCAGTCAAATCCTGTTAAAAATTGCAATTGGTAAGACTTCAAAGATAATTTAAAAGAATCACTGAAGTTCTAAAATTGAACACTGACATATTCATTACTCAAAAAGGATTTGGAGTAAAACTGTAAGATTATGCAAGGTTCTGTGGTTTAGGTAGAAGTCAAAAGAAAAAATACATGACATGAACTGGGGAAAGTTCTGAAATCTGGGTGTACTGGCATAGAATGGCCCATACTCAATTTTATCACTTAACCGTTTAGATTAGAATGCGGTCACAAAACCAAACACTGTACAGCATATAAATGGCACAATAAATATAGATGAACAGCCTTTTTGTTAATGTGTGTCTGGCATATACAGCAACATGTGGCCCTGTGTAAAATCCCATGAAGCATGCTGCCACTGACATGAACACAGGAAGGCACCTGTAGAGTTCAGCTTTGTCACAAACTCCAACTACTAATGTTATTTAGGGGTTTAACGCAGACCAAAGAATTTTGCAGTTAGATTATAACACTTTTCAGTAATACAAATTCAGCAATTACAGTATGTAGAGATAACTGACACTGACAACAGACACCAGCTGGCATCATCAGCGTTGTCTGGGAATGTCCGTGCTACCACAAAACAAAATCCTCTCATACATTTAACTCTATTATTTGATTCGACGCGGTAACTCGTGTAGTTAATCAGCCTCATCAGCCTTCTGTACTGATGTAGCTGAATCCGACAACTTCCTTGTTGCTTTGCCTTTTCACGCTGACGCGTGTGACGCAGGGAGCCGCGTGTCGCGGCCGATTGGCTGCGAGATTCCGCCGAACACCTTCCGCAGTCCACCGACATTTTGTAACTAAGTTTAAAGTTACACTCTCGGACCACATTAAAGTCACCACCATGTAGCGAAGTATATGCCGATCCTACTCGCAGACGTCCGAAAATGGTTCTGCCTTTCAGAGCGAAGGAGACGAAATAGTTACCTCGTAAAACGCCTGCACCATCTCCACCAACACCCACTGCTGTCCCGACGCCATGTTTGTCTTCCTTCTACAACGTCATCAGTGATGCTGCATTAAAGTTCCACACCAGAAGTAGGACACCTGAGCACCCGGCCCGCCCACCACACACCCAGCCTGTAATACCACTACTCTCTTCATTACACTGTTTGCAAAAAGAGACATTTGTAAAATTAAAAAAAATAAAGAAGTACAAAGTAAACAAAGAGAAAAGTAAGGATGGACCAGAACGAGTTGCCTTTGCAGAACACAACTATAATTAAACTTTGAAAAGGATTTCATTTGTATTATGAACTTAATTTTTGTTCATTAAAAAAAACAACAACAAAAAAAACACACACACAAGAAAACATTTAGTTCTTTCCTAGGTTAATGAATTAGTGTGCAGTGTCGTTTCAATTGCACCTCCCAAAACGTGACAATACTTCATGTCCCTCATGTCCCGCCTCCCTTGTCACGGCACAATCACGGTGCTTCGATCGCTTCCGTGTTGTTCCAATTACGACAAACGTTCGGCCAATCAGATGGCCTGATTTGTTTCAATTTCGAGAATCAAACTTTTGGCAAACCAATAGCAGAGCCAGGTTTATTCCAATTAGGTCATGTGACTTCTCAAACAGTCTTGCGCCGCAGTTCCAATTCTCCTGAGAGACTGTAACGAGGGTATGGATTTCTTTCACTCCTTTTAATTAAACAACTGTGCAAAACTAAAGCTTCTGACAGATATTAGTCAGACTGACTTTACTGTTGTGTTTTTTTTTTTTTTTAACCCGCCGTGGTAAATTAGTCGTGTAAGTATGTAAACTAGCATCATTAAACGTGAGTTATTAAATTAATATGAAATACATTTTTATTAATTTAACACCATAAAATTTATTATATACACACTGTGTGTCATTGTGTTGTTCAAACCACATAAATTCATGCTATTAAACTCTTTAATTGTATTCAAAAGTCTAATAACATGTTAATGCAACACACTGACATTTATATTCATATTCTTATTTATCTGACACTTTATTATCAGTTTCTGTTGTCATTATGATTTAAAAAGAGTAAACACAGCTGTTTGACAATAAATGGCTTCACCCAACTACTAACCATGAGTGAAAGAAAAGTTTTTCTCTTATCATTCATATTCTCTGAAAAATGGCCAAAAGACCACAGATTCTGCCAGGGTATGTAAACTTATGAGCACAACTGTACGTAAACTATGCATCTAACAGAGTAACAGTCCAGTATTGTTATGTATACTCTGTATGTAGCCGTACTGTCCACACTGTTCTGTACTTATTACTGTCCACATGTTTGCTGTTGTGTTTCTTTCTCATGTGTATTAGGGTGTTGCAACTACTTATCTGTATTACTGACCTGTTAGTAACACTTGCCATCAGTGGAGATCAAACCGGTGACCTCCCATTTTGCTCATTTCTGTCCCTCCTCTTCGCCTTTCTCCCTTCGCAGCCATAGAGAAGATTGTTCACCAGCCTTTTGTCTTAGATGTTCTCAAAGGCAGTCAAATGCTGTTTTTGTTTGTTTAACTTGTCAACCTATTTTGTCCTGTAGCCATACAGAGGATTAAGCAGTGTATAGATAATGCATTGATGGATCTTATTTTGTGTCACTCCATCAACTGAAGCATTTGTTACATTTCATATAAAGTGGATTACTAAATATGAAAGCACTGTGGCAGTCACTTGTGGTCTTTGAGTGACCTCTATTGGTACTTCAACTTTATAGTAGCAAGATTTATGTGCTGTACACAAAACATGATGAAACATGATGAGCATCTTGTTTTAGAGGTAGCTCTGTTGGTAGAAAAGCTGCCCTATATTTGTAAGGTTGCAGGTTTAACACCAGCTTCATCCTGTACATGTACTGAACTGTATAAGCACTAGCAACTGCAGCACTCTGCAATTACACTTTCTATTTATATTTGTTTCTTACTTGCTCCCAAAACTGTTTAACACCACCAAGCACCTGAAGGAATAAGACTAAAAGTGTGCTACATGCCATAAGAATGAAAGTGACTGAAATTTGAATTCATCCTCCACATGTCCAAGAATAGTTACGATTTTTATTACGTTATTATTTATTCATTATTCATAAATGTGTCTTTGTTATACAATCTTGTGATGCATGAAGATAATTCAATGGAATCTTGAATAAGAAACCTACTTCTAAGCAAGTTATATAACAAGGGATGTTGATATTAATAAAATATTAAATACGCAGTTTTTTGCAGCTTTCTCACCTGGTTTAGCTTTGCAACATTTAGTTTGTACTTTGTGTTAAAAAAATATTACAGTTTTCTCATTTTGTGTAAAATATGCCACTCTTGTAATTGATAATTTCTTATCAACTCCTCTTCTTCCATGTGTGTGTAGTCACATCCAAGTTCAGAAACCCTTGTTGACTTACTGTGTTGATAGCCAGCTTCGTAAGACTCCTTATCCCGACAGCGGTCTTTAAGTAAAGCCAGATTACGAAAAGATACCCTGGGTATGCTGAACCTGCTTCATAGTACAGACGTCAGGAGTCAACAAATTACAGTCACAAGGTGTATGTGTGAAGCAGGGCCATGCTCAGCAGCTTCAGGCTGTGTTCTAATTTCCCTTCTACCATATAGTATGCCAGACAAGATTTCGAATGTCCCAAATGCAGTGTGCCAAAGATGATAAGATGTCCCATTACATCCAGCCGCATTTTTCATTTTGCCTTACCAGCCTCATTTCCCCACATCTGAGGACTTCCACAGAAACTGAGCCTCTCACCGGCTGTCTTCAATTCAAACATGCTGACTGCGCATGTGTCAGGTGAACAAATGGTGCTTAAAGGAAATGCTTGCTTTATTTAGTGTTTTGATTTTTACACGATTTTCATCGATGGTGGCAAATCACAGTGTAAGTTCTAAATTCTCAAGAAATCCTCTGCTATGTCGACATACTGCCAGCCTTTCAGAAACATCCACAGGCGTCCTCTGCATTTGTCTGCGTTTGATATGAGGGGCAAGGTAGCTACGTCTGCATCGATCATGCGGAAACCATAAATTAGCCTTATTATTCTGCGTCCAGAAGCATGGTAGGGTACACTAAGGTCCTCGTGATTATTTGTGCTGCAAGTACATTATTTACTTACTGTATATCTCAATGTATTGAAGGTGGTCAAATTTAAATTTATTAATTCTAATATTACTGCTGATACCTTTATTGTTATTCCCTCCCACTCTCACCCCAACCGGTCAAGGCAGATGGCTGTCTTCCTTCTAGTTTTAAAAGGGGGCATTTTATCCTGTACTGAAAGGCAGTGTTCTTTGGAACACCAAGGAAGCAACATCTTTGCACCCAATAGGGCCATGATAAGTTAATGATGTAGTGTCCCTGAGACCTTCTATCTTATCTGGTTCCTGAAGAAAAAAAAAATTTTTTTTAGCCTGTTTTTAAAATATTTGTGAGATAGGTAAAACCGTCCCACATCATCATTAATGGATACCATACAAACAACAATAAGAATATTGTACAAACTCTCTGTAGAATTAATACACTATGCTGTACTCAAAAATCCCAGCAATCCAATACATTTAGTACTGTTGATGACATGCATACTTGTTTGCTGGGAACTCTACAATACAAATTTAATACATGTGAAAAAGAGTCATGCATCCTTACACAAATGGCAATCTGTTATACCCTTTAATGCGTACTAAATGCATGTCTTTATCTAACATTGTGTTACGTTCTGTCTAATGAGCAATTTGTTGAATTAAATGTATTTGCATTATTCATGGGTGCTTTTGAATACCAGAGGATGTGCATCATAACTTTGAATAGGTCGACTGAAGCATCCTACAGCTTGAACAATGTTCTTTTACTCAAGTATGCACACATTTACAATACAGAATAACAATATAGAATTTATTGTAAAAGACAGCATGGGATATAGACAGTGAGCTTATAAAAGCAGATACACCAATCAAATCTGTGTTTAAACATTTATTGTAAATGATAAGTTGTTACTATAGCTGTCGTTATTGCTAGCAGACTTTAAAGCCATTATTCTTGGGGAACAAGCAACAGTTTACCAAAGTGCACGATAGTTACCACCGGGGAAATGGCCTAGTCATGATCTGATAATTACAAGAAAACTAGAATTATAATGATAGCTGGATGATGTGGTTATGAGATAAAGATATTGTAATTAAGGAAATAACTTTAATGATATTATGAGACATATCGGTAGCTGCAATGCACTTCAGTAAAAAAAAAAAAATGTCAATGGACTCCAGTGCTGTGAATTCTTATCACTCACTGTGAATATTTCAGCACATTTTTCCAGAAACTGCGACATTACAGGTGAAAGTGATGGCGTACTGTAAATGTTCTGAGTATATAATTAGATTATAGTAACATGTTTACCTCTGGGAATAGGGGTTTGCAGTAATTGAGATTTGAAAACAGCTGCTGAGATCATGACAAAGAATAATTACCTACATTCTAATATAATATGACAAATGTTACAAGAGAAGTTTTTTGTAAACACTGAAACATTTGGTGTGTATCAAAACCCAGCACAAATATTAATGTAGCTTCTTATGATGTGAAAATGATTGAATTTTCTAACTCTAACAAGAAACCGGGCCGATTTCTTGTAATGCTGGCAGCAAGACCTTTTTTCTAATAACCATGCTAAATAAAAGCCTGTTCTACAAGTTTGTTTATTTTATTTATTTATTTATTTACCAGATTACTGCTTTGCATAATAGGCAGTGGGTATTATATCAGTATTACATCAGTTACAGCAAACGGCTGCAATGCACTATGTGGTAAGATGTGGTCCTGAGGAAGAGGTGTAAACATCACAATAAGTAGGGCAAGAACAAAAGTTTAGCATAAGAGTTAAAGTCCACAAGCCGCCGCGTACCTTATTGTCTCTGACTAATTGCAGACTGGAACATTTCAAATCTCAAAATAATGACCTGATTCATTAATTCATGTCCTTTGGAAGATACTGTGTAAGGTAATGATACAAAACCAGAAATTGTAAAGCTACCTACATGTCCCATCAGAGGAGCAGACTACTCAAACCAGTCGATTTCTATTCCAGTCCAGGAAGAAATCATGACAAGGGTCAAGTCAGGACAGGACCAGCGTTGGCTCAACATACTGATATCATCATATGCTGACTCACTGGGGGAGCCAACCATGTTTAGTATCATCTTATTGTGCCTTGAACAGGGTCAATATGCTTCTAGTCTGATTCACTGGATGAAGACTGCAGGTATAAGCCAGCCAACAGCTTTCTCCTCCCCATCATCTATCGCTTCAAGATACACGGGAAACAACAACAACCTCCAAGCAGCAACCTACCACAATGACAAGTTCAAGTTTTGCTGAAGGTTTGGGTTGTGCATTAAAGGACCCCTGCTAGTCTTTTTTTGTTTGTGAATTTGCCATTTTAATGCTCACCTTCCTGCAAGCAAATGCTTCATCAAAATAATTCCTCTGTCAATATTTGGAGTAAACACTGATGCAGCACGTTGTTCTCAACTCCGCCCATGACATTTGTGACTTGGTTAAAGAAATACAAACATGGCAGAGCGTTTTTCCCCCTGAAGCAGAATGATACTCAGGGGCAGCCAAATAATTCTACACAGCACTGCGTCAGCACTAGAAAACAGTCTCGCTATGAAAGACTAGCATGCTTCAGTCTGGGTTACATTTGTCTGATGACACCACAATTCATTTGAACACCACTTAAACTACCAACCCAACTTTCCTTTAAACACCTTGGAGCAAACTAGATTGCACTTCACCTGAAGCACATTTGTGTCACGTGTTGCACTTTAGATGTCAAGTGGTTGTGCAGTAAGCACAGATACAGCAATTTGCAGGTCAGTAACGGTCAGATGTCTACAATAAAACTAATTGTATCTAATGAATAGTAATGTTCTTTGTTTTTAGACCAACCAGGTTTCCTGTAAGTTGTTTCAGCAGCATTTCAAATGCACTATTTCAATAGGAAATAATCAAAGCTGAAAATGTAGTAATAAAAAATGGCTTCTGCAAACAAGTGTCTCCCAGTTTTAGACACATGTCTAATTAGGGTCCAAACACTGAAAGTGGAAGAAACCTGCTGGAATCCTTCTGATTCTGAAAACAAAATTTCCCAACGCAGTTGAGATGGCCTAAACATGTTCAGAAACTCACCAAAATTTGCACGCACATTTGAACTGGCAAAAAATTCGATATTTTAGGGGACTTGGGCATATGAGTGGTAAAATGGATCCATAGCGCCCCCTAGAAAATTTCAACAGAGTACCGCGGGAAGTATGTTTTCGCCTAGACCTATGAAATTTGGTAGGCATATGCATCACATAAAGATGCACAAAAACCCCAGGAACCCACATCCAAAACCTAACGGTGAAGTCTGCCATTTTGAATGAACAGCATGTTTGCTCAGTTTCAGGCATTTTCAAAATCTATCTCCTCCTTGGGGCAAAGTCCAACAGACCCTAAATTTGGCCAGCATGTACAACAGGACTTAATGATTGAAAGTTACTAAAACGCTCCGCAAAAGTCTGAAGACGTGGAAATGGCAGCCCCCGGAATTGCCACAATTCGCCATAAAAAGCTGCTAGTGCATGCTCCGATCTGCCTGAAACTTTACACATTTGATCAGAGTCCCGGCCACACACACTCTGCCCCGATGGTCATACAGCGAGGACCCTTCCATTGCTGCTTGCAGCTTTAATTGTCTTTGGAGTTATATATCACCAAATCCATTCTTCATGGGTCAGAAACTACCTATGCTGTAAAGTTTAAACTGATTAACAGGCTTTATGTCCAAATCCAGATTTAGACATTTTCTTATACTTTACAAAGATACAAGCAAATACCACAACAATAATAATTGCTTTTCAGATGGTAAACATTATATTACCGGTTTTCTAAAGTGTCATTTCAAATTAAAAAAGGAAACACACTCAGGACAGAAGTAAACTGCTGAAACACCATCGTCTAAAAAGAACACAAGCCAGATAAGCAAATGATGACTACTACAGGTCAATGAGAAGATTGAGCTTGAAAGTGGAAATGAGCGATACTGCTGAACAGAGGCTGCTATTACTAGTCCTGTAGCACAACAGAAATCATTGTGGCTCAGTAATCACAGAGCCCCAGCATCAGGTCTGCAATAGGCTGCTTCTAAAAATTCACTGGAAGATTAAACGAGATTAAGTCAGCGCATTAAGGTAGGCCAACTCTCTTGGTAACACACTCACACACACACACACACACACACACAAACATGCATACAGATTGTTCAACACAGAGATGCTGCTGCTCATGGCGTAGCAGCCATCCAGAATCACAATGACAGAGTATTTAACTCACAGATTAACAGAGTTGCAGGTGATGTTTTTGCTGCATGCTAAAACCTGAAACACATTAAAGCGCCACTTTGTGTAAAACTGTCAACATTCATATGCTTCAACTACAGGATCTACTTTTTCCTTTAATTTTGATTTAATTATATTTGGGGTAATACAGCTTGTTCTTTGGGTCATTTATTATAATTCCCATACATAATATGTGTGTCAAAACGTTAACCCAGTCTCTAATAAGCTGCAATAAAGGTCAGAGCTTTATATTTTCGTCATTGGCACAGTCAAATGCTTTAGTGAACAGTAAATGTACCAGCTAACATCCAACTGCATTCAGTCAGTGTTTTAGGGGAATTAACTAGCCAACACGTTTGCTTGCTTCCGCAGTAAATTGGGTGCAGAAATAGCAGACCTGGTTCTGTTCTAAGTCCTTTGGATGTGTTAAACATTGGTCTACCTACTATCTGGTCAGTTTGGATCTTGTGTGGTTTTAATTGGTTAATGTTGTAGATATAAAAGTCTTGGTTCCTTCCTGGGAACACTTTTCCAGCCTTTGAAGACCTCTGATCCACAGTTACACTACCACACACGCACACTCTATCACTGTCACCATTGAAGCCTGACTGAGGTAACTTGCGTGGAGGAGCCCAGAAGAACTGGAGTGTCAGGATGAAGTTCTGTTATACCCTACCTCTATGCGTTTCTCCAGCCACATCTCTGCTAACTGCATTGTCGATGCAAATGTACTTGCTCTTGACCCAAGGCACATTTTGTGTTGCTTCTGTTCAAGACTTGCATTGCAGTATACAGGATGATAAATGTGGACCATTCCTGGTTCTTGGCTGCGAAACACTTTCAAACCAGAATGAATAACTTTTGTAAACAGGTCTACATCTTCCAACCCCCAACCTAGGATTGAGGTGTCAAAACCCCCGGCTTTTATTAAGTCACTCTTGAAAACACAGGTGATTCCAAAGCCATAATCTCGCCAGAAGCCACTTTTCTTGGTGAGCACAAATTTGTTTTCTCTTGTGCCTTTTTCACCATACACTATCTTAGGGTTGTACTGACTAAAGACAACAGGGAAATAGACCCGTCTTCCTTGAACAGCATTGTCCCTGCAACGCTGCAAGGCCTCACCAGTAAAGATAAGATCAATATCGCAGAAGAAGAGTAGAGTATCATTATGAAGCTGGGAAGAGCCCAGTTCTAGAGCCAGCCCTCGTGAAAAGTTGCCTGACATGGATATTACAGACAGGTCAGCTTTGGGATACTTCCTGTTGTAGTCCTTGATCAACTGAAAATGCCTCCTTCTGTTTGGATTGCTCTCATTGTCCACGAGAATGATGGAGAGCTTAACATTTTGTTTGGGTATCAAACACACTTTCTCAAAGTTTTCCATAAAGCGCACAAAGGTGTTGTAGCGACCAGACAACGGGACAAGGATGTTGACCTTTCTCTGGCTTTGCTCCCACATTTCTCTGGCTGATTCATAGAACTGGAAAGGTGACAAGAACTTCAGAGAGTTTGACAGAAAAGACAGGGATTGGGATTCAGAGTTGATTGCAGCCACAAGTTCAGCTACATCTAACTCTTCAGCTTCAGTAAAGAAAGGTCGGCTAAAGGACTGCTGAAGGTAAGCGTGCCGCCTCACCGGCACTGTTACTTTACGCCCCTTATGTTTTTTGTATAAAAGCAATAAGTCTAAGATGTATTCTGCACCATGCATTGGATCCACCCTGTAGTAACCATACTGAATCTCTTTAAAGTCAATAACACGGCCACGCGTTTTTGAATTCTCATTAATCATTTCCATGACCTGCAGAATAATGTCTTCTAGTGCCGTCCGAAGCAAGCTCCCAAGGTTCTGCCGGGCCAACTTGTTTTCAACCGCAGAATAAATATGACGGCCTGTCAGGAAATCCCACTCAATTACATCGTTTCTCTCATTGGCCTGATATCGCATGTAGGAAGGTGGAGACCCAAACTGTTGGTCTTCCCACAATACTTCAGTATCACTGAGGTAACTCATAATCAAGCCTTCACGGTGGAGCAGGATGGTGCGGTAACGAAGCCTTGAGATCTCGCGACTGAGCATGAAGCTGTGGAGCCGATACTGGTAGGCTGGTTTTTTGTTGGGGTGGAGTGTGATGGCATTGTGGATCTTGCTACTGTGAAGCTCCTCAATGAAACCTTTCTTGTTGTGTTCGTAGTTCTCGTAGAAAAGCTGCTGCATCTGTGGAATGAATTGCAACACAATGATAAAAGCATGGATGATGTCCAAGCATCCGTAAACACAACACTCTTGACAAGTTTTGCCACCTTAACAAAAAAAGACTGAGTGTGCTTTTAGTCAAAATGCTCTCTTCATTATAGATTCATAGCATACTGAGTAAAAGCCACTATTTTACTGACCAATATACTGAAAAGTCTTTTTAATTTGTCCAGCATTCTTGAAATATAGGATTCAAGAATGTAAGCCATTTGAGGGGAGGAAATAAGAACAAACATTCAACTACCTAATTTTAAATCTTATGTAATTACACAGACTTTAAGCACACACCAGTGAAAAATAATCAGAAGCCCCTATTTAACAAGATGTGCTGATATATAGTCTAATTTCAAAATAAAATGGAACTTAGTAAAACTGGTTTAAGCTTGAAATCTATTTTGGTCATCAGCTCTAATGGTAACAACAACGTTGTACACACCACTTTCACTGCTAATATGTGGACACATGGTTCAATCCCTAAAAAAACACTGTCAAAAACACAAGCAATCAGACAGCTAGGCAAAAAAAATCCAGGCCAGTCAGACTCATTTGGAGACAAGAATAAAATTGAGCAAAGAAAGCATTGCTTGATTTGTCCAAACATTCATCACCGTTTACAGACTCACTTCCTGCTTCAACTTTGATCAACTCTACTAACTGTAGTTTTGCAAACATTATATGTCAGTACTATTGAGTTCTGTTCTTCCTTTGGGGATTTTCTTACTTTCGGTTTTAGCTGCAGTTGTTTATTTTGGTGAGATTGACTGCTTGCGTTTATTTTTACCCTGTTGGACTTTGGTGTGGGAATGCCACCATATTTTTTTTGATTTTGAATGATTTTGATTTTGAATTTTGAATGCTGTTGTTGTTGCTGATTTTATGTTGGTGTTGTGTTGTTTTTTCTGGTGTAGCAATTTCCCTGAGGTCTTGTATCTCTGTATGTACTGTATGTGTGTGGATGTTTTTTTGCTTTTATCCACAACCATATATAATAATAATACTTTTTATTTATAAAGCACTTTTCATTTAAAAGAAATCTCAAAGTGCTACATCCACACTACCAAACTGTCATCACATCCAGATTGTTCCTAGATAATTTCATTAATTATCCTTTGCCAGTGATCATCTAACTACATATTACTCTTGTAATCAAATCAGCGTCATAACCATTTTCAGTTTTCCATCAAGAACTTCAGTAAAAACACTGATTATATAATTCAGGGAAAGGGATGCTGTGATATCCAGTCATTAAATTAATCCTTTTCAATTTGAGGTCCATCTGATAAATAAGCCCAATTCATATTTTTATTAATTTTATGTAACCTGACAAGAACTTGAGCAGACTGACAAAGGGGGTGAAATTGAAGTATCCAGATGTGCAAGGCTAACCAAGACCTATCCACACAGGCTCAATTCTGCATTTGTGGCCAAAGGTGCATCTACTAAACTGATGTATCTGGCCTGAACACTTATGCAGTCACTTGTTTCAGGTTTTAGATTTTTGACAAAAAGCAATAAAAAGGGGACATTTCAAAGGCACTTTTTATGGGCACTGTATGATTTCTACAATACAGTACAAAAGAAATGTGTCTAAATTCCCACAGAACTGATGGAATCCCTCCACTGCCTGTAACTACAGACTCCAATATAGTGCAGGAAGCTACGAGAACATAAAGCAGACTGACTCAGTCCATACCTCATAAGACCACACACACTGTGTTCCTCCAAAGCGTCGCACACAGCGGCCCACCTCCACGTCCTCATGGGTGGTGTACATCTCACTCAGGCAGGTACTAATGTGAGGGACCATCCTGCGCAGCACCTCTCTACTGAAGATCATCCCGGGGCCTCCCATGCAAAAGTTCTCTCCAGGCTCCAGGGCCAATCTGCCCAGCTCTTCAGCCATACCCAGGCCTGTCTGGCCAAGGTAATGGGGCTTGCTGCTGTTCAGTGACCGCAGGAACAACTCGAGCTTCTCTCCTGGCAATGGGTGAAATGGGAGAAATATAGTTATCAGGCTAAGTCCATCCATCCATTATCTATACACCACTTAATCCTCACTAGGGTCACGGGGGGCTGGAGTCTATCCCAACTGACTTAGGGCGAAGGCAGGGGACACCCTGGACAGGTTATCAGTCTATAGATAACCAAGCACACTCACATTCACCCCAGTGGACAATTTAGAATCACCAGTTAACCTCAACATGTTTTTGGGCCCTAGGTGGAAGCCTGAGAACCCACGCTGCACAGGGAGAACATGCAAACTCCACGCAAAAGGTTCCCGGGCGTCCTAACCGGGACGCGAACCGGCTACCTTCTTGCTGCGAGGCGACGAGCCACCTTGCAGCCCGTGATCAGGCTAAGGGAATTCTGGAAAATGTATTCACTTTAATGCATCACTTTGCTCAATATAAAGACATATTTGTACATAAAAAAACATATTCTTTCTACAATGCAATGTATCACATCCAACTGAAGTCATGTTAAAGACTCATAAGGTGCCCTGGCTGTATTAAACATGTGACTGAACTGAACAGTTAGTTCAATGTCAACAGTGGAAATTAACATTTTCAAACAGCCAACTGTTAAAAACTGACTTCCTTTCCATTTACATTTTGTCAGTTTAATCAGTGCGTTCTTAATTCTTCTTTCTGTGAAGCCACTCTGTACCAGAGCATGAACAAAGACAAGTATTGAGTTTGCTGAATGACTGGTAAATATTAAGTGGAGGGGGAGTGAAATTATTAAATCTCCTCTCTCAGACACAAACACACACATGGAATCATGCATGGGTTTGTCGTCAGTCCCACCTAACTAAGTAACTTTTGTTTGTCTTCAGTGAGACCAGTAAATGTGCTGCTTCTAAAGCCAAACCTAAACACAACTGTACACACAGAGCTCCACTTCCCTTCATAATACTGGGAAAAGAAACAGTCCAGTTTAGTCCAGCAACACAACACCTTCTAATGAGGATAAATCAGAATACATTGGATTTCTGTGGATCACTTGTGAACCTCTAAGTTCCTCAGAGGGCTGCTGTCACCAACACACAGTCTGTCACCAACACACA